GACGTGGCTATCGAAAATTCTAAAGTGATAATGTTATTCAACCACGGGAGATACCCGGTCACGCGGGTGCATCAAAACAAAGTTGAATGCTAGCGTATACCTTACCTCAGCAGTGAGCTGGACAGAGCGGGACTCCGATACATAACGCTCCGGAAGGGAAAGGAAGCTACACAGTGCCTGAGATAGTAGGAAAAATTGTGGTCGGGGAAGTTGCATATACTCCACGTAATTCCACTATGAACAGTCTGGTACAGTCAGTGTGGGAAAATATGCAAATGGATCAACCACATTTGTCGATGACAATATGAGAGTTCTTGGTTTCTGGATACTTCTAATACCCGAATTGGTATATAAACTCCTTTAATTAGTGAAAAAACGCCCGAGCTGAGCTAAGGGAAGCGAACATATACTCAATCAGTTTCTCATGTGGATGTCATCACATTAGAAACGCTGTTAATCAAACCGCGGAGAATTCCATTTCTCAAAAACTGGGTAAGTCCCCGCTCACATCACGAGCCCTGCCACTTCTCCTGCTGCTGCTGCTGCTGCCCCCAGCACTGTACAGGGCTGCTGCCCTCTGCCCGTGCGCTGCATCGAACTGTTCGCCAGTCTGTATGAGGAGCTCCCTTTGAGTAGCAGTAGGAAGCACCGATATGGGCAATAGATATCTTTGATATAAAGATACAAACAAGGCCCAACCGAGATCCATCTGTCACCTCATATTCCCACCATATGGCGTTCGTTCATAAGTCAGCCCCCTATTATACGATGTTATCAATTCTAATAGAGGCCCTTTAGGGTCGAACACTCTGAGAATTGTCGCGTCAACCGTACCTGACTTAACCGTTTATCTGGCATTTCCTCAATATGCGTATCATAGTCGTTGTTCTTGACGGGTTGTAGCACAGTGGCGTTTCACCACCCTAGTGATATGGAAAGCATACTTTACGACTCCTGCATGTCACCGCGAATATCGCGTTTTTCACCGAGTTTTACGCCACTTCACGTAAAACGGGTTGTGAAACTGAGTTTCTGTTCGTTTGGCAGCAACTCCACGTTGTAGAGGAACAGCACCTCTTCTGGTTTCGAAAAGGCAGAGGGAAAATCGATACTTCCGAAGCGAATTTATTTTGGAAGGCTTTTTTTATTTTTATTTTATTTTGGAATTTTGGATACCTCCGGAAGGCTCTATTTCGGATTTTCTTCACAGACTTGTGAGTTGAGGCGGAGCGAAGCTCAATTTCTTCACAAGGTTCAAGAAACGCATTCCCCAATGCTAACCTACTAGACTCAGCTCGCAACCATCTAGAAAGGCACACCATGATCTGCGGCAGATAGTTAAGCAACTCCGAATTGAGCTTGGTTACTCCTAAGAACTCATCAGTGACTACGACGAGGCAATACCAAATACAGCTGGTGACACGGATAGCCGATTTTCATGATATAGTATTCAGAAGCCGAAATGACTACACGATAGAGAATTTCGCGTAGATTCAGAATATATAATAATTTTTCTTTCATCACCGAGTATGATTCCCTGAAAATCGATTGTGTGTTTTCCGCTAGGAGACCGTTTCCTAGCTAGAATTTCATCCACGCAAATATTCAAACAATGTAATAGGAGAGTCTATATACAAATTTTCGAATCCAGTTGAGTCCTAGGTGGCAAACTATGCCGGTGACACGAGACGTGCTGTATCTTACCAGCTCTCCCAATATCTGTTTGTTGTCTACAATATGCTTCAAATTTCCTAGCGCTTTCAGCGGGCGTATCAAAGCCCGTGACAATCTGCGACATGATAATAACAATCCTCATAATTTTCCTCCTACCCTACCTCTTCAAGGGACTTAGCGTCTGTGGTTTCTCGACGGCTACTATGCAGAAAGCCTCCATGTAGCAGTCTCGATGTTTCCGCGCCCAACCCTGTAAACCGTTGATGAGGATCACTATTAGGACTCTCGAACATGCCTGGCTACATATTGTGAGAATACTCAACTCAACAGGAAAATGCGGGTCAAAAAAGTTACAGATTTTTGGTATCGGCGGCCCATGGTACATTGCCAGTGACCATAGCTACAGCTCTCAGCATGCGGTACTCCTCCATTCGTGAGTCGAAGGCTTCTATATACCTTTCAAAGGGAGTATAAGACCGTCGGGGAGAAAATATGCACATGGTCAACTATGTGTGTTGGTGACAACATGAAAATTTTGAGGAAAATTTGGGAAATTCTTGTTACACTTCTAGCCAGAATCTCCATATTCTAGTAAGGGAACTCCTCAGGAGTTCAGCTGAGGAAGGCAACCATATACTAGGCTTCGGAGTATTTCTCACGGTCGCGGGTTCGATCCCCGGTGCGGGCATTCTCCAGCATTTTCCGGTTGTTCACCGTTACAGCGCACAACGGCATAGGCTGGCGCCGAGAGAAATTTCTTAGTTTTTGCGATATTGGTATATCCCTTGAGAGCTCAACTGGTGTAGTCGTTGAGAAATAATAGAACCAACAAACGCACAGAAAATGCACCAGAAAGTGACAATCTCAACACTCTATAATCGACCCTACGGTGCTCGATCTGCATCCGACATGCTCATCCACTGCTGACCAGCAAAGACCCCAAACGTAGCCGCATCTATCACCCTGTTGGGGTCTAAACGGCAGCATACAACACTAGTATGGGTATCAAAAGGTATCGTACTCATTCTTCGAGCATTGTGAAGTTGTTCTCTAGCAAATGCAAGGTAAGCACTGCATGGTCGTTGTGGAGTCGGCAAGATAGTCATCTCAGCCAGGGGGTCCTTATGTGGTGTGGAAGCCGCTGTTGACGGTGATGGTTGTGTGAGTATCAAGGAAGACCCTTGCTGGAGAGAAGGAGAATCTAAAGAGGTATTCGAGACTAGTGCCGGCTCACTGGGCCAATGAGGAAAACCAAGAGTGTTGATAGCATGTTTGATTTCCTCAGCTGAGCTCAGCAGAGTTTCCTCGCTGATTATATAATACGAATTGGGAGTAGAAATGTACAGAAACCAATGCGATGATTTCCTCCAGTGTCACCAACATACGTAGTTGACCATGTGCATATTTTTCCACACCATTCACAGTTCGTCCACGAATGTGTGAATCTCAACAGCTGCCTTCTTTCACATCACACGTTATAACAACAACTTAGCGAACATGTAAAATTAACGGTCGAGTGCCGCCTCAACCCTTACACAGTATTGGTAATTTACAAAAATTAATTTACAAAAAATAATTAGCTATGGAATCCATAACGACTACTACAAAGATATACGTAATGAGCCATACCACACCTAGCCCAGTTTCGATAACACTTCCTGTGCAAAAGCAAGAGCCTTACTCGTGTGACTATCAGCTTTCAATCGCTTAGTTGGTCGCCCTTCACCACCACATAAAGTAGCAATACTCAGTTTTTCACCACCAACAAGGACATCCCCGGGAGCCAAAGCTGGTGGAGGAGCTCGAGGTAGACCAGCAAGCTGCGCTATGAACTGAATAGTGTTGGAAGAGGAATACATGTTATTCGCTTTCCTCAGCTCAGCTCACAAGTTTACATAAAAAACCGAAATTTCATATCGTGTATTATCCCACACGATGACCAAAAACCTTCATAGCAATATATGTTTACTTTCCTCAGCTGAGCTCACAAGTTCACATACGGAATCGAGTAGAATTATATAGAAACCAACGAGGATTTCATATTGTATATTTTCCCACACAATCACTGCGATGACCAAAAACCTTCATAGGAATATATGTTTACTTTTCTCAGAAGTTTCCTCGCTAATTATGGAAGTTTACAGACGAATTCTAGCAGAAGTGTATAAAAACCACTAAGAAATTCCCAAAATTCTCACTAGTTGCCCATGTGCATATTTTCTTCACCTCTAGCCGTAACTGCGGTCGAGCATGTAATATAGCAACCACCATTTCGAAAAGGTGATGGTCAGGCACCGACGCGAACATCTCCCTGATGCCGTTTTTGGAGGCGTCGTGGTCCATCACTTTAATACCGTCTCAAAGACAACTACCAAATGCGAGGCGAGCGGTAGACCGTAGTAGCCCAGAAAATAATTTCAAAAAAAAAACAACAATACCATCCAGAAACCTATAATGTTTCCCGGGATGAACTCATTTTGAATTTTCCACGGATGGCTATTAACACATTCTTCAATCAGTTTCCCATGTAAATGTCATCATCACATTAGGAACGGTTTCCTCCACTGTTATCAAACCCTGAGGGACTTTTTGGATGGGTTTCTGATGAGAGCGTGAAAGCATACACAAAATTAGTATTTAGCGGAGCGATGTTTACTATCACTTTTTCGACTGTTTAATCACATCCGGGGGGGGGGGGGAATATGCGCATGGTCAACCACATATGTTGGTGACAAAATGAGAATTCTGGGAGGAAATTTTGAGAATTTCTCATTGAGTCCTATACATTTTTACACTCATTCCGTATGTTTACGTCTATATTTAGTGAGGAAACTGTCGAGTTCAGCTGAGGAAAGCGATTACATATTTCTCAGCCCACCCCGGATTAGATATCACATGTAAAACTCGATCTTAGGAACGCTCCCAGAGCTCAGGAGAGGTCTATTCAACACCCCACGGGTTTCGACAACCGAATAATTGTTTCCTTTTTGAAACAATCATTATAATCAACTACGTCACAGCTCCCCAACCATTGCTCGTCTGCTTACGCCTACAACCAAGTCCGATCACAACAGTGGAGAAAATACACATAATAACCTCTTAGGGCGAGCGCTACTCACTGCCACATCTTTTCAAATCCACGCTCGTTCGAAAACCAGCCACCAAATCCGTAAACACAATCCTGTACACATAACTTCCCAGGGCGAGCGCTACTTACTGCCACATTCTTTCAAATAATAGCTAGTTCGAAAACAACCACCAACTCCATAAACACAACTCGGTGTAAATAAACGATTCATATAAACTCATGAGTGATGATCTCTTTCAAAAATTCCAAAACGGAAAGAAAATTTTCAAATGCGACTTTCTGTCTTCAGGTTGATCCCAGGACCCAACACGCTCGGAACCTGAAAAATCCCATCGATATAGAACAGAAATTTCCGAGCGAGTGGTATGCCATAACTACTCTACCGATAATCAATATCAGTAATACTAAAGCAGTGTTGGAAGAATATATGTTCGCTTTCTTCAGCTGATCCCAGGAGTTTCCAAAGCTAATTATACAAGTTGACAGAAACCAATGAAAATTCATCACAATTTTCACACGGGCATCAACACATGTGGTTGACCATATTTTTCCACACTCTACTGAGCTCAAATACCCAACCCGAATCGCCCAATCACAACAATTCTCTCTCATATAGGGACCATATTTTTCCGAAAAATTCTGTTTTTCACGTTTAGTAGTGTTTCAGGCTGAATCTCCAACAAGGCATTCATACCAAAATAATCTACCACATATTTTCTCAGTTAATATATAGTAGACTATTATTGTTATGCATTGGAGGGCGTCGGTGCCACCAGATGTTAGTAAATTTTACTCCCACCCAGTGGCACTCACGTCCTATTACCTCAACCCTAGCGCTCGCCCACTCCGGTTCACGTCGTTCTTTCAAAGCCCTTATACCCTCAGCCGCCTCCTTCCCTGCGCGGAGATTGGCAATCACACTCGCGACCGAACGAGTCAATTCAGCTGTCCCCTAAAAGAGTGTTGGAGAGATATATACTTGCTATTCTCAACTGACTTCAGCAGTTTCCTCGTCGATTATAAGAATTTACACATTACAATTCTTTCATAATCAGTGTTGGAGGAATTTACGCTGACTTTCCTCAAGTGAGTTTAGGAGTTTCCTAGTTGACACATGAATTCGCATAAAAGTGTGCGAGAATAAAAAAAAATTTGGTCAAAATTTTCTCATAATTTTTCATGTCCTTCATACACTATTACGCCCAGTGTTGGAAAATTTACATTCGCTTTCCTCAGCTGAGCTCAGCAGTTTTCTCATTTATTACAGAATTCTATATACGAATTCGGTTAGGCTTGTTAAAAAACTAACAAGAATTTTCCGAAAATTTCCCCACAATTTTCATATTCTCGCCAACACATGTAGTTGATTATATTCAGATTTTCCCACACTGCCCTGAAAAAGACAGCTGAAACGCGCGATCCTTGCAAACAGATTTTCCTTCAACTACATTGGAGTTTCACCCGTGAGGTTGAACACACTAGCGAAAAATATATATTTCACGACTACTGCATATCAACACGACTATCGCCTTTTTCACGTGGAGTATTACGACGCCACTTCACGTAAAACTCCATTGAATTTTGACCTAATTCCTTCACCCAAATTCTCATATATATATCTCTTATACTGAAATCTAAGTCGCGCACTTTAAACTAAAAAAAAAATTTTCTCAAGAACTACCCCGAAATGTATACTGACCATCTCCTGTTTTTCCATATTAAACGCGAGTTTCTTCAACTCGCTCACTGCATGTGGTTCGCTCATTCTGATACGATCAGCGATAGCTTGCAAGGCCGCGTCGAGATCCGATGCCCTCTGGACCACGATATCAACTATACCTACATACACGACAAGAACAACTGCAGACACCTCTCAGTCGCTATCAGTATACCTGCTGTTTTAGCTTCGTCAGCATCAATAGGAGTAGCAAGAGCCGCGAGGCGAACTGCCGTGCTGGGTCCAACTCGACGGATAACAAAGGGAAGGATCGTCGCTGGACACACACCTATGTGTAAAATCGTTCGAAAATATCCCGATATGTGACTTTTTCACGCACGATTATACCATTTTCCCACAAATTGTACCCAATTTGACTTCCGACAGAGTAAGCTCCGTTTTTTCTCTAGAGGCCACCACCATATCGCAGACCGCTAGAAGGCCCCAGCCCCCACCGAACACTCTTCCTGATACCGCACTGACCAGAAACTAACCAAAAATTTACTCAACGATTATGCCACGCACCGACCTGGGGAATTCGGGCCAATTGGGTCAACACTCGGACGAAATTACTCGCCCCTTCAACGTTTTCAGCCAGAGACCTGTAAATCTCGACTCACTCCCAGCAGCGACTACTTCTTACACTGTACGACTTCGACTGAACTCCCTAGGGTCAAGACCAGCACAAAATGTCTTACTATCAGCAGTGGCTCGTAGGATCACCAAGCGGACCTAAATTGAATCTTACCATGGGGAACCTAAGATACTCTTACGCTGCGACGGACATCGAGATTGTTCGTAAGCAAGTCAGCACATCTCGTCAAAGACCCCATCATCTCATCGGTCAACGAGTTGTGTTCTTTAGGTCGGTTCAATATCTACCAACATTTTTCCTACTCCCCCCCGTGCAAAGCGCGCGCGCCCAATTACAATCTCAGCAACATGTTTCGATCTATGAATAACAAAGTCAAACCCCTGCCCTGAAAATCCCATGCAGTCAGCAGAGTAGTGTTGCAGCTCAGGCAGGTTGCTAGGTCGGACCGCATCCAACTGATCACCACAACGCCAATGATGATCATCACAACTGCCTCCCCTTCTTACTGCTGTTGAGGGCATCAATATCGGCATCTGTAGGAGCATCTGCCCGTAGGTCTTTCCCAAATTGTCCCCATGAAGTGAAGCCATGCCTGAACCGGTGTTTCTCAAAATCAACTATCATGTATGTTTAAGGTCGCCGATATGTTAATATCAGTAGGAGCCCGAATTCTAGGTAACGGTCCCAGGTTCGATCCCCAGCACGGACTGTTTTCGAGTATTTTCCATTCTCACCCAGTTTCGCCCAATACACGGCCTAGGCTGGTGGAGTCCATAGCGATTCTATATTTCTCATATATGACTCATGCTCTTCCGAATGGTTTTTGTCACTGCCTGATACTGCTGTGCTAGCTACTTCACAAGCCCTTTATAGCGTTATTAAGCTAACCCTAACACTGCCAAGGCGAGCAGGGTGAACACATCTTCCCGAGCCCGTGTCACTATGAGTGATTCACTGCAAAGATGTGTATATAGCAAACTGAATGACATGTTCATTTTCGTTGGGGCATAAAACCATGGACCATTCTGGGATTCCCAATATAAGGGTTTTCTTGTTCCATCTGTATTGAATAATATATGATATTCTGGAGTTTCACAATCCGTTTTACGTGAAGTGGTGTAATACTCTGTGAAAACGCGATATTTGTATAACTATATTGTATAACTATATTGTATAACTATATTGTATAACTATATTGTATAACTATATTGTATACTATATTGTATAACTATATTGTATAACTATATTGTATAACTATATTGTATAACTATATTGTATAACTATATTGTATAACTATATTGTATAACTATATTGTATAACTATACTGTATAACTATATTGTATAACTATATTGTATAACTATATTGTATAACTATATTGTATAACTATATTGTATAACTATATTGTATAACTATATTGTATAACTATATTGTATAACTATATTGTATAACTATATTGTATAACTATATTGTATAACTATATTGTATAACTATATTGTATAACTATATTGTATAACTATATTGTATAACTATATTGTATAACTATATTGTATAACTATATTGTATAACTATATTGTATAACTATATTGTATAACTATATTGTATAACTATATTGTATAACTATGTTGTATAACTATGTTGTATAACTATATTGTATAACTATATTGTATAACTATATTGTATAACTATATTGTATAACTATATTGTATAACTATATTGTATAACTATATTGTATAACTATATTGTATAACTATATTGTATAACTATGTTGTATAACTATGTTGTATAACTATATTGTATAACTATATTGTATAACTATATTATATAACTATGTTGTATAACTATGTTGTATAACTATATTGTATAACTATATTGTATAACTATATTGTACACTATGCTACCCCGCAAACTCACCTCCTCCACCCAGAATGTCACTAAGCAGATAATTGAGTGCTCCAAGGCCAGGAACATCATATCGGACCTGCAACCCCATGCATGAAGACAACGACGCCATCAGCCTACACAAGAGGTACTAGGCAGACCCCAACGGTTCTTAAAGTAATGTCGGACACTATCAGCTGTCACTTGATGCTTGATATAAGGCAAGTACCTGGTACAGGTGAACTAGTCCATCGGGACAGGGCTTAAACAACTCCGGACAACTACTATAACAACACTGAATGATTTTGCGCGTATGGTGTTTATTACTGATAACATTTCACTACCAGTCAAGAAGTACTAACGACATGATGATGACTTCGGCTAAGTCTTCATCTCACTGAGCCTCCTGGGCGTTGGAAGTTGAATAATACAAAACAAAACGTATTGCTCACAACCAACGATCGCATAAATCTCATTCAAGTGCCCAAGGTAGGGTATACATATAGCTAGAGTATGCATGCTTATCAAATAGTCAATTCGATGTTGCTGATATAAATCTATATTGGCTATTACTCGCCTGGTCGAAGCGGTACTGCGCGAGAACAAGATATAAATATGGTCGCATTGTCTTTCCGTGAACAACGTATAGGGTACATCCCCTAAAACGGCAAGTCCCCCCACCTCTCATTCCGAGCAAATAGGCCAATATTAACGTTGTTGCCCTTGTCCCCAGACCGAGCGTAACACACGCGCAGTAGAGGAACCTGACACGTCGAAATATCCAAGGTTCCTCACGACAAGATACAAAGTAGGTACCGTTTCACATGGGGAAAAATCATGAGGGTCTACAGCTTGTACGGCAAGCACCCGCTGAGTGGGATGAGGCCAATGGATGTTCACAGGGCCCACCGATGGCTCTAGTTGCCTCTCTGGTCCTCGCCCTGACAAGAAGAAGACAATCTACGGAAGGGGGTAATATCCGTGATGCTGCTGCTACTACCAATTTGAATCTTGGCTCGGATCTTGCTCTTGGCGACTAGCATCGGGACCATACGGATGATGGCATGAGGTCGAGCTCGACCACTACTGAATCCGATAGTACCTCAACCAATCAACGTTACAGAAGCATTAATAGCCTAATGGTTAAACGCGCTTCTATATACCGCGAGGTCCCAGGTTCGAACCCCACACCCATATCCTTACTATAAATATTCGATTATAGTAATGAGCATATACCGCAACAACAGGCACTATGCCCGAAAACTTTTTTGACGGGAAAATATCCAATCCGGGGATCGAACCGGGGACATAATACATTGTCAAATACATCGATTGAATCAACAAACGCGGTTCGCCCCTTCGTTGCGGAGATTTACTTCTAACCGCAATGATAATACCAACACTATGAGAATATATAGAAATACGTAGAATTACGAAATCGCAATTACACACAATTACGGTATGCTTTGAAAAATATTAAATAATATATAAACCCCAGTTCGAAACCTCTCCCCCACCCATGATTTCATACCCGGAGCCATTGACGTGGCCGCACTGCTCAATTCATTCGACAACAACTGCAGCACCTTCTTATCCTCATGCTTGGCCGCTAGCCTCACCATCGCCTGCCGATGTAGAAAAAATATATTCGCTTTCCTCAGCTAAGCCTAGGAGTTCTTTTTCTAATGATCAAGGCTCACATATAAATTCATTGGAAGTAGAAACGCATATGGGAAGCCCTCCAAATTCAATCAGAATTTGTCATCACCAACACGTGTAGTTGACCACGTGCACATTCTTCCACACTGGCGCTTACCAATGTAGGGAAATATATTTGCTTTCCTCATCTGAGTCTAAGAGATCCACTGCTAACACTCGAAGCTTGCATGCAAACTCGGGTAGAGATGCACAGAAACCAACGGGGAGTTTACTCAAAATTCCCCTATTGTCATCACCAACACATGTAGTTGACCATGTGCATATTATTTTTCCCCACACTACTACCACACCCTCCCCAACTCGCCACCCACCTCAAAGTCGCTGCTTATGATCTCGATTCTCGACTCTTCCAATGTGATCCCGAAATGCTTCTCGACTCCTACAACATCAACATCCCACGCAAATTTAGGAATATATGTTTGCTTTTCTCAACTGCGCTCGTAAGTGTCCTCACTACACTATAAAACTTGATATATCATATACTGGGCCTTCGTGACGAAGGGGCGGAGCTCACTTAGTCCTATTGATTAGATCAATTAATTTGACATAGGTCTCCGGTTCGATCCCCGGGTAGGACATTCTTCCGTCATTAAAGTTCTTCGTGCATATCTTTTCGAGCTGCTCGCATAATCGAGTTTTCCGATTTTTCCCAAAACCTCGGCATTTAGAGGAGTCGTTTGATCTACCTGGTAGCCTCCTACGCTCCGTAGTCAAGCCAGAATAATTCTGCACGCACGCACAACGCGAAAGTGCCTGTTGTTGCGGTATATGCTTCGTTCGCTCAGCAATTATAATTATAACACAGCAACCATCCACACACGATGTTGGGCGGGAATGTACAAAAACCAACAATAAATTCCCAAAATTTCCTCAGAATTTCCAGCACATCTAGTTCGCCATGTGAATATACTCCCGTGCTTACTTTTTATGATCGCCTCTGCGGTTTTCCGAGCCTTCACTTCAGCGTCCTTGCCCCTTACTACTAGACTAGTCACCACCTTATAGCCGTCCATATAAGTTCCTTACAGAACTCACTGCGACAGCACACAGGAGAGCAAACATACCGCAAACCTTGTAAGTTTCCGTCGGACACTTCCCCCTAGCATTGGCGACTCTCACAGCATTGTCACCAACTTGGTCCACTTTCACTTGAGTAAAATCACAAACGACATCAGGAACCTAGTCTCAAACCATTTTCGCCGTTTTCACTCGTTAAAGTTTACAATGTAGTTTCCCGGATCTGCAATTTCATACAGTATTTGTTCCTTAACCCCAGCTACCTACAGCTAGGCCTGGCCATTCACACCAATCAACGATGAGCCCTACCAAACACAGCCGCCTGTTCCTGGAGGCTTCGACACAAGGAACTCCCCACTGGCCAATACCTCGGCAATAGGGTATCCAATATTCGACCTACACGATGATAGCGATCCTTATAAAGTGTTGAAATATATGTTTGCTTTCCACAGCTGAATTCGTGAGGAGTTTCTTTATTATACTGGAGTTTCACAACCCGTTTTACGTGAAGTGGCGTGGAACTCGGTGAAAAACGCGATATTCGCGGTGATATGCAGGAGTCGTGAAATATATTTTTCATATCACTAGGGTGGTGAAACTCCATTATACGATATTCAAGCTAAAAGTATACAAAAATCAACGAGAATTTCCCGAAAATTCTTCAGAATTTCCATTTTACCATTTGACCATGTGCATATTCCCCATACCATCCCTCAGCCACTTCAGCCTCTAAGCAATCGGTCATCAGTCCTCCCGTAGCCTGCGCTCCACACTCTAGCACATGTCCAGCTAGGGTGCCCGAAGCCATCAAATCGAGATCCTCCATAGACCAACCGAACCTATAACAATCACTTTATGTGGTGAAAATAATAGATAAAAATTCACTCGTAAATGAGCGGAGCGAGGACAAGTGCAGAGTCGACTACACGACCAGTGATGACCATATCAGCTCCACCAGCAAGGCATTCCACGATAGGGGCGGCTCCCAGATATCTAAGATCAGTTTTGTAGGGGGGAAAATATGCATATGATCAAATACGTGTGGTGATGACAACAGAAAAAGTATGAGAAAATTTCGGGAAATTCTTGTTGATTTTTGTACACTTCTACTCTGAATCTTCACACTATTAGGAAACTCCTGAGCTCGGCTGAGGAAAACAAATATATACTTCAACACTATATAAAATCCAGATCGACAACTACCATACACGTTTGCTGTTGTCAGGCTCTTCTGGTGAGGCACGTGGTCCACCAAATCCCCAATTTCCTTTAATACATCATCACCGTACACAACACCAACTACAAGCACAAATATGCGCTCAAATTTTATGCAACTTTACCACCTTTAATTTCTCCCCATCCTCGCTCTTCATACACCTTCTCAATAGCCGCCTTACACGCCTTAGGATTGAGTCCACCCGCATTCGTGATGAACT